TGGGTACACTACAATTTAAAATATTCAAAATTATTGAGAATTAATTGTTTTCTTTGTAAAAAACTTGTTAGGTACACTACAATTAAAAATATTCAAAATTATTGAGAATTAATTGTTTTCTTTGTAAAAAACTTGTCAAGAGTAGTTTGAACAGCATATGGGGTGAACATTTATTTTTATCAGGTAGATACTCTCCTTGGAGTGATCAATCTTGGGAAAACAGAAGGGCAGTGTTTGCACAGGGAGACAGCTGGAGGGACAGGAGTACACAGGAGGGAAGGACACAGGGAAGAGGTTACTACAGGGAGGAAGTGGAAAGAGAACTCTTATATTGTGGGGATTTGCAGTAAATGTCATGAGACAAAATGTGTATGAACTGCTGTATGGAAAATGAATTTGCTCTGTAAACTTTCACCCAAATCACAATAAGAATTTTTTAAAAAATCATTAAAAAAAAAGGAATAGTTTGAATAGTGTTTTTTGCCTTCTTACACACAACTTATAATACTGAGAGAACATCTTTTCTGTGCTTTGGTGAATTGTCACACACCTTTCTAAGTTTGGATCAGCTTCCAACATTTTATCCTCTGTGCTTTCAATGTTGTCACATATTTCCATGTTCCTTTAAATGTAATTTTTTTTTTTTTAATAAAATTGTGATTTGGGTGACAGTGTACAGGCAAATTGGTTTTCCATTTGACAATTCATATACATTTTGTTTTGTGACATTGACTGCAATCCCTACAGTGTAACAGCACTCTTCCCACTTCCTCCCTGGGTTTACCATTTCCTTTCATCCTTCTTTCCTATCCCTTCCTGTTTTCTGAGCTTTATCCCTGGGCAAATGCTTAAATGTGATTTTTTTTTTTTTTTTTTTTGCCAGTGTCATTTTCTCTGGGATACCTCCCTCCTTTTGGTTACAAATGCTTTTCTCATTTATGTTGATAAGTTGGCTTCCACTAAGTTCCTTAGGCTGCATGTCTAGTTTCATGAGTGGCAGTAGGGTCAACATGTCCACAGTCCACTATGTCTTCTCTAATGCCTTTTACATTTAGTTGGAATTGCACTTCCAACATAATTACTTTTTGTTTCTTTGGGGTATGTACATCTTTGTCAATTCCCTTTTTCAGTTATCCATTTCTGTAAAATGTGATGTGATTTTGCCACTGGGACACAAGGAGGCAACCTAGCTATACATTTTGCTATCTTTGTGTGTGAAATGAATAACAGGTGTACACTGACCAGTTGCCAAAGTTCTATGATTGGTCATGATCATGATGTACACCTGTCATTTCTGTAGTGATTTTTAGACGAGGGTTCATGGTGAAGTCTATACTTTGTGCAACTATTCACAGGTAATATATGGTGGAAAATATAATTTGAACCACGTTGTTGGGGAACAAGTGCTATTTAAATAAACTGCAGTAACTAAATATCATGCATATTAGAATCATGTAAAGCAAGAACTGTCTATATATCAAAGCTTTTTAGGATTTTGAAGGGTTTATTGTGTGTAAAGGTAAAAGTTCTGAGTCTTACCCTAACTTTTTAATCTGTGCCTTTAGAATCAGAATCTCCTTGTCTTTGAATGTCTACATGATAGATCCAGATTATTTGTCTCTCCATCACCAGTTACTAATGTTTCTGTGGGCTGCAGAAACCATAATATAGTTCCAATTCAGCATTAAAAAGGAGAGCCTGTTTGAGAGTCACTGGGAACCCAACTGTCTGCTCCTAAGTCCCATATGCTACTGGTACAAAGGCCATATTTGGCAAAAGCTTGTAAATGTGTAACTCACACTGGTAAGACATCTGTGCATGGATTTTAGGACAGGTTTGTAAAATTAAGGAATCTAGGGCAGGTCAGAATTAGATGATGGTGGCTCTGTTGGTCTATGTCCCACAGCAGTTGGGCCACCACAGTGGCACCTGGCCAAAGGATACTTCAATAATAGGCAAAAGCCAACAGGTATGGCTAGGCATTTAGCTCAGTGAGCCCAGGGCAGGCTAAGGACGGCTTCTGTGGGAAACACTTCTGTGGGAAATACTTCATGTTACAGATCAAATCACAAAGCAACTTACTCAAGGTTTGAACAGATAACAAAATAATAAGCAGCGCTTCTTAAAATATAGCAAGGGGATGTTAAAATAAACACTAAGAAATAAATAGTGACAATTATAGAAAGCAAAGGACTAGATCTACTGTCTGTACAAAACTCAGCCATTTATAGATCATTTAAATTGAATTCATTAAGTACAGGCAAATCTGGTATTTTTAAAGGACTTATCTTTCTAGTAAGTGATCATCATTACTAGTGGTGGCAGTAGGAGGACTCTGGTATTGGTAGCTTTGTGAAGTATGTTACTATATCAACTATCTCTATCATTACAAAAATCTCTTTGGCCTTATTTTTTGCTCTTAAACAGCCATCCATTCCAGGTTATTCTTTGACAATCTGTGCACTGCCTGGACTAACACATTCTGTCAGCTGGTCAGGGCCATGCTCTCACCATATTCAGGGATGAATATTTTCACTGGATCACTGTAAGGCCCCACTCCCCCTTTGGTTATGGCTGCAATCCTCACTGTGCACGTGGCATTGTGGACTCGAACAGGAATCTGAGCACGGCTGCCATTCTGGCCAACTTCTTCAGAGAGCTCTTTCTGGGAACACAGAGCAGAGGAAATAAAAAAGTAGTGAGACACCAAGGGCATGTTGCTGGCTTCCCATATTTCTTTTTGAGGAAAGCTGGTAGAGAGTACCTAAAGTATATGGCCATTAACCAGCAGCTAGCTGTTCAAACCCATCAGTTGCTCCGTGGAAGGAAGACGGGGCAATCTACTTCCATAAAGATTTACTCCCTTGGAAACCCAAAGGGGGGTCACTATGAGTCAGAATCGACTCAATGGCAGTGAGTTTGGTTTTTTGGTTTTGGTCCCAGCCACACCCACAACCGGGGCAGTGGCCATATTTGCAAAGCATCCCTTCCTCACTCTGGCCACAGCCAATGGAAACAAAGGCAGACAGAGGGAACCAAGACAGGGCAGCAGTAAACTCAGTCCTTGGGCCCTTGGCAAACTTGAGCCATGAGGAATGGTATTTAGAGTAATCAGTAAAGAAGTACCTGGAAGAAAGGGGCCATGTAGCAGATGCACACAGACAAGAGTAAGACTGACTCCTCGAGACCCCTACCCTCAGAACCACCCACAGTATAATGCCCAAGGGTTGCACTGGACCTTCACATTACCCCTGTCAACCTCCCCTGCACCAGTACAAGTAGGTTCCGGTACCTTGAATTATAAGAATTTTGACTAAAACATACATCTATGAGGACACTGGCATTTTTCCTTTTAGTGCGAAAAATGCACAATTTGCAAAAATCTAGTTTACTTTTGTTTTAAAGCCACTTTCATGAAACAGTGAGCAATTAATACAAAGGAAAATATGATGTTTTAAAAAATAATTACAAAGATGTGTTCATGCAACATTTTCCCTCTTTGTTTCCAAACCTTGACTATAGTGATGTTCTCTGGGGTAAGAAACTAATTTTGTGTTTGGGGCTGCCGTCATAAATGAAAAACGTAGGACTGTGAAGGCTGAAGTAAACCCTCAGAAGATGTCTTTTATCTCTAAATTGTGGAAATTTGATTTGACAGAGAAAGAGAGTAATATCAGTCATCTGAGGCACAAATGCCATCAATCATCAATAAATAACAAGGATGTAGTTTTGGAGGTAACTTCCCTAGTTTTATGCTGGTTACTCCTAGTAATGGTGCAGGAAGAATAAACTCAGCTCTCAAGGAAAGGGCAGTTCTGTCGCTCATGATCAAGGGGGCACCTGGGTCAGCCATCTAGAAACTGTTCTAAATCTAAAACAACAATGACCACCAGGGCCCAGAAATGCCCACAGACAAGGGAGGAAAGGGGAAAATGCAATGTTAAAAATAGTTGTTTTTCTCCTCCAATGGACTCTGAGTCTATGAAATTCACCATCAATTTTTTGCTAATTAATGAAAAATTACTAATGAACTGTGTGGTATATTCTGGCATTGCCATTTTTAGAAATACAGAATTTCATTCATGGCAAACTCAGTTTTGTTTATGGGATAATTGATCATTCTCTAAGGAGCCCTGGTGGTATAGTGGTTAAGTACTTGGCTGCTAGTCAAACGGTCAGTAGTTTGAATTCACTAGCCACTCTGTGGGAGAAAGTTGACGCAGTCTGCTTCTATAAAGATTTGTAGCCTTAGAAATCCTAAGAGGCAGTTCTGCTCTGTCTTATAGGGTCACTAGGAGTGAGCATCAACTCAACAGCAATGAGATTGGTTTCTTTGGTTAAGCCATTCTCTCTTTAATTTCTTAGGGGAAGAAATTCATCAAGTATAGTAACTTCATAAAAACCAAACTCACTTCCATCGAGTTGATTTTGACTCATAGTGACTTCCTTTGGGTTTCCAAGGCAGTAAATCTTTACGGTAGACTGCCCAGTCTTTCTTCTGCAGCGTGTCTGGTGGGTTTGAACCACTAACCTTCTGGTTAGCAGTCAAATGCCTTAGGCACTATGCCACCAGAGCTCCAGTAACTTGATAGTTAAAACTATACAGTCATGGAGCCCTACAGTGAGGCAGGCCCATAGCTGAGCATAATGTGTCTACTCCACAATAGATCTAGTGCCTGGCAAGGAACACAGGCCCAGTGGTCATAGCTTCTGGCTGCATTTGTTTTTCTTAGAAAGACTCAAATACAGTGCATCAATTATGAGGGAAATCACCTCAAAATAAGAGGTAATGAATGACTGGGAAAGAATTAAATGCCCAGAAGAACAGAGTTCCTAACAACAAAATTAACCTCTCTGGAATAAACATAAAAAAAAGACAATAATACTTATTCGCTAGGGCCTATAGGAGTCCTTGGGTGGTGCAAAGGGTTAAGCACTCAACTACTAACTGAAAGGTTGGTGGTTTGAACCCACCAAAAGGTACTTCAAAAGACAGGCCTAGCAATCTGCTTCTAAAAAGTCATAGATAGCCTTGAAAACCCTATGGAGCAGTTCTACTCTGCACACACAGGGCTGCCAGGAGATGGAATCAACTAAGGACAACTAGCAACAACAAAGGGCCTAGGGAAACCCAGAAAAGTTACTTTTTATTTCCACCCCCGATGGGGTTGCTATGAGTCACAATTGACTTGATGGCAGTGGTTTGGTTTTATTCCTTAAGTAAGTTAACATATTATGTAAAGAGCTAATCTGTATAAGTTGGAACAGTTCCTGGTCCAGATGAAATGTTACCCAACGTAGAGACTGCTGTCATCACAGTGGTCATCATTCTGAATCTTGAAGTCATCAACAATGCTGGCCAATGCTTACTGGTAATGCATTTTGAAAACACATAAAAAATTATCACATTTTAGGGGGGGAATTACAATAAATGTTGAAGTTGTGATAAGAAAAATACATGTTAAATATTCTACTGAAATGTTGACAATTTTCTCTAAGAATATCCTTAAATACTAATCTCAAATATAGTTTTAAAATAATTCATGTTTTTTAAAAAATGATGTCATTCATCCATACTGTCTTGATGTCAAGTATATAAAGAAAGTGTACTCATAGCCATATCCCCAAATATTTAATTTTGAGAGTTTATAGAGAGATCATTTAAAATCAAACATATGAAGGAGCTACCCTGTCTGCATTATTGTCTGTATTGACAAGGTGCAGAGTGCATACAGGTGGGTTCTTTCTCTGGCAACAGGTTGTCTGATCATGGGGTGTATACTATGAACCAACTGTATATTTCTCCTTTAGTGAGCTTTAGTTTTTCACTAACATTGGCCCTTATCCTCAAGGAACTCTAAGAGCATTTTCAAGTCTGTAATTAGATGTGTATTATAACACTGGATTGCAACTTTGTTGTTGTTGTTATTAGATGTTGTCAAGTTGTTTTTGACTCATAGCAACCCTACGTACAACAGAATTAAACACTGCCCGGTCCTGTGCCATCCTCAAAATTGTTGCTATGTCTGAGCCTATTGTTGCAGCCACTGTGTCAGTCCATCTTTTTGACGTTCTTCCTTTTTTGTTGCTGACTCTCTATTTTACCAAGCATGCTGTCCTTCTCTAGGGACTAGTCCCTCCTGATAACACATCCAAAGTACATATGAGGAAGTCTTGCCATCCTTCCTTCTGAGAAGCATTCTGGCTGCATTTCTTCTAAGTAGATTTACAACTTTACTTACATGTAAAACATGACACACTCAACCTTGCCTATGAGGAAAGTAATATATTCCCAAAGATATGCTTCTTTTTTCTCATTTTATATGATATTAGTTAGTCAGGGCAGCTCTTAGTGATACTTGCTTTCAGTTACCAAAAGGGTTGCTTAATCACAATCGATAACTCATAACTATATTTAAGCATATGGCTCATTTTGCTGTCTTAGAGAGCAGTATATCCAGTGAGGAAAGGTGTTGTTGTTAGGTACCGTCAAGTCCTCTCCAACTCATAGCGACCCTATGTACAGCAGAATGAAACACCACCTGGTCCTGCGCCAGCTCCATGATCCTTGCTATACTTGACCGCATCTCTGCAGCCACTGGGTCAATCCATTTCATTGAGGGCTTTCCCCTCTTTCTTCAACCCTCCAGTTTACTGAACATGACATCCTTCTCCAGGAAATGGTCCCTTCTGATAACATGACCAAAGTAGGTGATACGAAGTCTGACCATTCTCACTTCCAAGGGGCATATTTGCTGAACTTCCTCCAGGATAGATTTGTTAGTTATTTTAGTCCATGGTACTTTAGGCATTCTTTACCAGCATCACAACTCAAAAGCATCAATTGTTTTTCGGTCTTCTTTATTCATTGTCCAGCTGTCACCTTAGTCAGGTGCACCTTAGTCCTCAAGGAGACATCTTTGCTCCTCAGCACTTGAAAGAGGTCTTTTGTAGCCAACTTGCCCAGTGCATAGTCTAATGTCCTGACTGCTGCTTCCATTAGCATTGATTGTAGGACCAAGCAATGTGAAGTCTTTGACAACTTCAATCTTTTCTCCATTTATCATGATGCTGTTTATAGGTCCAGTTGTGAGGATTTTTGTTTTCTTTATATTGAGATGTAATCCACACTGTAACCATATTCTTCAATCTTCATCAGTAAGTGCTTCAAGTCATCCTCACTTTCAGCAAAGTTGTGTCGTCAGCAAAGCGCAGGTTGTTAATGGTTCTTCCTCCAACCTTGATGCCACGTTCTTCTTCATATAGTCCAGCTTCTTGGATCATTTGCTCAGCATATAGATTAAGGTGCTATACTTGGACCTTCTTTTCTAAGACTCTCTTATGCAATTGACCTAGTGGTATTTTCCAAGTCCTGGGGCATTAGAGAAAATCATCAAGACTATTTAGTTGCCCAAGCCAAGAAGTTTATTTGACTCCTTCATGGAGTCTACTTCCATTGTAGATTTCTCCTCTAGGCAAAATATACCACCTGTAACAGAATCCCTGGGTTTCCAAAGTGTTTTGGACCCATGTCTGAACTCTCTTACAAGAACCTTTCCTATTCCTCATACCTCAATATAACACCAGCTCACATTCTCTGCCCTCTTTTGACAGGGAGTGGGAGAAACTAGGACAGGAAGGTGTGGAGCACATGCCAACATCCAG